CCGCCATCCTGTCTTCCAGGCCAGGCATCCTCGGTGCGGACACAGGCGGGCTCCCTGCACCAGGGCTCACCAAATCTGAACATCTCCACAGAGACGCAAGGGCCTGGGCCCACTGTGAGGGGTTTGGCGTGAGCCTCCCCTCAAAGCGACCTGCCTCCAGGGGCCAGAGGGCTGACTATGCAGCCCTGTGGAGCCCAGGGAGCGAATCAGAAGTGGAGGCCCTGGAGGTCCTCGTGCCAACTTTCCCCAGAGCAGCTCGAGGGCTCTGGCTTTGCAGACCGGTGCCAGGGGCCGCCTGGCCACAGGACTCAGCTCGCCCAGTGGGGGTCACGGTGAGCATGGGGAAGGCAGCGCTCTGCAGTCGGGAGATGTGGGGCTCAGCCCGCACACACCTGGGATGGGGGAGGAGGGGTGTGGAGGATGTGGCCGGACCCCATCGCCCGACCCGTGCCCACAGGGGACAGTGCGATAAACAGTCCCCAGAACGCTGCCTGGCCAGCTGCCCTGGGCGGTGGGGAGGGAGAGGGGCTCAGGCCCTGGGAGGCGAGGGCCTGGAGAGCGAGGAGCAGGGCAGGTGCAGGGCTGCCGTGGCAGGGGAGGCGGGAGCAGGACACAGCTCACCTTTCAGAGAGAAGGAGGAGCTGCCTTGGACGCTGGGCAGGGGCAGGTCCTCGGGGCCCTGCACGGTGGAGGAGTACTCCCAGACTCGCGACGTGTAGTTACCTGGGCGGCAAAGGGAAGGGTCAGGCCACAGCGGTCGGCCCGGGCCAGAGCCAGGACGAGGCCATTCCTGTGCTTGTCCAGTCCTCGCCGTGTCTCAAGCCAGGAGGACGCTGGGCCCACTCACCTCCTGCCAGTCAAAGCTGTCCTTCTGAACTGGGAAGTGCTGCGCCCTGCTGTCCCCACAGGCCCCCGGCTGTCCGGCTTTCCGGTGAAGGTGCAAAGCCCACGCTCCACGGCCTGCCGCTTCCCTGGCTGCTGCCCACCTCTCACCACCGCCTCCACCTCCTGGCTCCCCCTCCCGCCCTCTCCATCGCTCATCACTCCACCGGCTGCACTCGGAGTTCCTCATACACTGCAGGCTCCCTCTTGCCCTCGCTTTTTGCACTGGGGTGCTTGGGGAGTACCCCACTCTCAGCAAATCCATGTGTTGGTCTTCAGTGTCGGCTTCCATGTCACCTCCCCAGTCTGTGTGAGCTCAGCCACACCACCCTCACCACCTGCCTGCCAGTGTCGGTGTGTGTTCAGCTGTCTGTCTCCCCACTGGGCTCTGAGGGCAGCATGGCACCTGTGCCCAGCACAGAGCCTGGTCTCAGAAGGGGCTCCTTGGATGGCTGACAGATGAAATGAACAAATAAATGCAAACACGGGCTAAATTTTAGAGACAGCAGCTGCTACGCCCCTGGCACTCTGCTCACCAGGTGGGGCAGTGACACATGTCCGTCTGCAAGCATGTCCCTGCAGCCTGGAGAGAAGGAGGGGGTGGGGACACGCTGGACAGTGGGCGTTCTCAGCCCCTCTGGAAAAGGCCCCCTCCTCGGGCCCTCCCCCAGCACGCAGGGTCCCAGTCCTGAGATTTCCCGCTGTTGCCTGAAGGGGGTCTGGGGCTCAGCAGTCAGAGGGGCTGGCTGCCCACCTGCGGTCGGTGAGCCCCACCCACAGGGTGCCCAGGAAGTCTTCAGTCTGGACCTCAGCCAGCACGTCCGCCCAAGGCTCTCAGGCCCATGGCCTGGCCCGTCATTCCCTCACTCATCTGTTCTCTCTCTCTCTCTCTCTCTCTCTCTCTCTCTCACCCCACCCCCCGCCCCGAGTCCTTCGGACCGAGGTGGCAGCTGTGACAGACGGGCCGAGCTTGGCCTCAGTCTGCTGTGCGCGTGACGGTGCAATGGGCCCGTCCTGGACGTGAGGCCTGGGTGCCGCCCGTCCAGGGGCCTTGCCTCCAGATCTCCAGGACTCGCTTTCTCTGAAGAGGCCCCGACTGGCCTCACAGCCTGGCTCTGTGCCGGGGGCTGGGAGCTGGCTCAGTCTCCCCCACGCCCTCTGCACGGGGCTGGGCCGCACCAGGGGCCCCAGGAGGCACCGGGCCTCCCAGCTGGGCCCCCCGAGCCCACTGCCCGCCCTCGGCGTGAGGTCCACCGCAGCACCTGGGCAGAGGCTTGGCACCTGGCTGTCCCCGGGAGGCCAGGGCTCCGTTCCATCTCGTCTCTCCTGGGCCGAAGGGCATGCCACCCTCCCCTCTCATGGCAGGGCACCTCCCTGACGTCTGGGCGGGCCCACTCCTCCCCGTGCCACCCTGCCACTTACAGCAACAGGAGTTTGGCTTCAGGCAGATTCGCAAGGTCCCTGTGCCCCAACCCGCTGAGGGGTGTCCCCACACCCATACAGGCCCCAGTTCCCCTGCTTGTCCCCAAGCAGAAGGCCCCGGACTCAGGGTTCCCAGGGAGGCCCCTGCTCCTTGCAGCCTGAGTCACAGTGCCTCACACTTGAACACACAGGCACACTCACCCTTTACCTCAGCAGGACCCTCCGGTCCACCTCTGAGCTCACAACCCCTCCCCAATCCTCCTTCACTTTGGATTTGGAAGCCCAGCACACTGCCCACCTCGCCCTGAGCCCCGCCCACCTTGCTCTGAGCCCAGCCCCTCGCCCTGAGCCCCGCCCACCTTGCCCTTAGTCCTGCCCCTACCTTTGGTGCCATAGAGATTATTGAAGTTCTTTTGGTTGATGTCCTTGGAGAGGCGACTGGGGGACACGGGCTGGTATGACGTCCTGGCCCCCCCTGCGAAGCAAAGGGGAAGAGCTGTCATCGCAGAAGGTGGGGTGGCTTACTCAGGGCGGTACCTCTGACCTGAAGGGCCCCCAGCGCCTGTCCCAGGGCCCAGATGCCACTATGACAGCTCATTGGGGGCTGGAATAAAGTGATATGTCATTTACCCCCAAGCCCCAAGTCAGGACACTTTCCTAACCATGCCAAGAGCACCAGGTGTGGCCTGGCCAGCCCTGGACACAGGGATGCATTGGGTCACCTGCTCGAGACTGAGGGTCACCAGGGGCTGGAGAGGCCAACATGCCACCCTGGGCCAGTCCCCTGTGGCTGCAACCCCCGAGGCTGGGACACCGGGCTCCTGTGAGGACGGGTGGCCACGGGGACTGTGAGGTGCTGGACGGAGGCCCCGGGCCAGGAGAGGCTGAAGAGCGGGTGCCCATGGACATGGCCAGGTGCTTCCCCGGGAGAGGGTCCTCTGCCTCCCACCCCGATGTGGCCTCGGGCACCAGTCTGGAGAGGGTGGCGGACTGGGATACACACACCCCTTTACAGACGAAAAACCACACTCCTGCCTGGCCGGGGGGCTCGGTGGCTGAGTCGGCCTATGAACCAGGAGGTCAGGGTTCAATTCCCGGCCAGGGCACAGGCCCGGGTTGTGGGTTCGATCCCCAGGGTGGGGTGTGCAGGAGGCAGCCGATCATGATTCTCTCTCATCATTGATGTTTCTCTCTCTCCCTTCCTCTCTGAAAGCAACAAAATATATTTTTTTAAAAAAGAAAGCACGCTCAGGTCCTTCTGTGGGCCCTCCCTCTGCAGAGCCCGCCCTGTCCGGTTACAGCCCCTGCTGGTCCTCCCTCCGGCCCTCCCACCTGCAGTGCTCGCACCTCTCTCCAGGGCCCTCGGCCTTCACGCCAGGCCCTCTGCACTGAGCCCACTGCCTCTGCCGGGCCCTGGAGACCGCCCCTCCTGGGAGCCTGACTGACCAGCCCACTGCCCGGAGCCCCCAGACTCCAGCGGGCAGCCCTCCGGGGGCCACGCTTCCTGAGTCTCTGACCCTCCTTGGCCCAGAGGGCACATCTCCTCCTGTTCCCGGGCAGGCGGGGCTGGGGCACGGGGTCGGGGGTTGGGGGGCACCTGCTTCTCCCTGGCAGATGCCCAGCCCCATGCACAGGGCCGAGAGGGTCCCTCCGGGCTCCTCTCTTCTCAGACAGGGACAGAAGGGTGGTGACAGGTAAGCTGTCAGGGGACACGGCGGGGTGCTCTGCCCTCCCTCCCCATCACTGCCCTCCTCCTCGCAGCCTGCGGGGAGCTGCCCTCCCCACCGTTGTCCACAGAATGGGGGGGCAGAGCAGGGGCAACTCGGGGCTCAATGCCCAGAGGCCTGGGGAGCAAGGAGAGAGGCCAGGTGGGGAGCTGGCATCTCACAGAGTTGTGCCCAAAGGGCAGCACCGGGGTCGGGGGTTCGGGGGGCAGGACTCGCTGTCCACACCAGGACTGTGGGGGTGGGGTCAGGTGTGGCTGCCTCGCCAGGCCTCCACCTGAAGTCCAGGTGCTGTTTTCTCATTGGGTGGGGTGGCTACTCTGAACTGAGCTCATCCCTCCCACCCCTGCACCCCACCCAGTGTGTGTCCCAGCGGGTGAGTCAGTGCAGGGCTGAGGCCTCCTCCACGCATCCTTTCTGCCTCTCCCCACATGTATTCTCCCCCAACATGTGCCTGCACACCCCTCCCCCTCCCATGCCTGCACACCCCTCCCCCTCACATGCCTGCACAC